CTCACCTCTAAAAAGGTTCAGTAGGCAGTAGGGCACTGCTGTTCTAAGGTGCTCCTCCTTTCTTCTCTTGAAGAAATATTTTTGCTTTCCTTTTACAAATAATTTTTCTTCTGAGCTGCTCATGCCTTGGATTGGTTCTGTCATCCAAGCATGTGCACACTAACCACTGCCTTAACTAGTTGGTGGGAAGGGACCTACAGAGTCTCTAATCCAAGACATCTGTGCTAGGCAGTACTACCACCAACACAAGAGCAGGTCAGCTGTGGCTTTTTCTACAAGTTTGGATACAGACTCCGATACATCTCCAGATAAACTATTCTTGTACTGCAACAAACTCTTAGTGAAAAAAATTTTTACAGCATCCAGCCTGAACAACTCAAGCTAGAACCTGTGGCCATCATCACTTCTTATATCACCTGTCATTTGGATTTGCTGCCTTTGCAGCTCACCTTCAAGTAGCTGTAGGCTGATAGTAGATCATCTGTGAAATTCCTCTTTGCCAAGCAAACAAGCCTAGCTCTGTTAATCTCTTTGTAGGTCACATGCTACCATGTTGGTAGCCCTCCACTGGATCCTCTTTAGTTCCTCCACATCCCTCTTGAACTTCAGGGGCGGGAAACTGTGCACAGCAGTCCAGGTGTGGCTAAGCAGACATGAATAAATTCCTTCAGTGTCTGGCCATGTTCTTCCTAACAGTGTGATGTGTGGGTTGCCTCATTCGCAATCAGAGCTTACTGGTATCCATGGCAACTGCCAGCTCCTTCCAGTGGGGCTGCTCCTCAGCCACTCAGTCCTCAGCCAGGAAAGATGCGTGGGATCACTTTGCCCTGTTACAGAACTTCACTCTCCTTCCTGAACATCAGAAGGCACCTGTTGACCCAGTCCTTTCATTTCTCAAAGTCCCTCTGGAGTGAAGCTCTTGTTCACATGTCAATTGCTTACTCTGAATTTTTATCATCATAAATTTCCTAGTTCCTTTTTCCTGTAGGATGACTTACAGACAGTAGGATGACTTACAGACAGTTATTCTCCACCAAAGACAGTCTACCCATTGAGCTGTATGATTGTAGCTATTCAGACAGACACATAAATGTCTCTGACCTTCCTGCTGTGGGCCACACTGAGGCTAAAATACAAGAGCAGCTTTGAATGTTTTATTCATAGGAACAAAAGAATGAAATTATCTGAGCCAGAAGTGGCCAAGGACCCCAGGTACTGATGCAGAAAACTATGGGCAGGTGCCATGGATGTCAACCCCCTGAACCTTCTTTGGCAATGAGCATCCAGGGCTGTTTGGGGCACTAGCACTCATTCTAGGAAATGGAGGAGGTTTTTATTTGGTTTTCTATAAATATAGACATGAACTTCTGCCAGGTTGTTTGCATTAGGTTAATATTTCTGTAGTGTACAGGTGTTACTATGAGCTGTGAATGTCTGCTGCCTGTCTCTAGCACCACAGAGTGTGGTGCTGTAAATATTAGCCCAGGCAGAGAGTGTTTGCTCAGCCCTCCTCCGTGCTGCCTCCCCCAGCAGTACTCTGATAGTGCTCCTGACAAACGGCCCAGGCTCAGCATCTCCTGCACTGCACAGCAACGTGCTCTGGTTTTGACTCAAGGAGGGTGGTACTGACCAAATCCTGACAAAAGCAGCAGAAGCACCAGTGTGCTACAATCTTCATCAGATTAGTACTATACAGAATAAGGTACGACTAAGTAACTCAGCACATACTGCAAACTGTGGTAAAACCCCTTCTTCACTGGCTGTGGCAGTCGTGGATGTAGAGAAGAAATGTCTCGCACATCACCGGAACTGCTACTTGCTTTAATACAGTGATATACAGTGATTTCAGAGGAAAACTAATGATTTTTGCTCTCAAAAGGGCTCCCCAGTAATGGAAAGGACTGTCCATTGCAGTTGATCTGAACAGAAGAAGAAACTATCCTGCAGATACTGCAGGGATCTTCCTACTGCCAAAGACAGGAACAACAAATGAGCAAACAGCACCAGCATGGTGAGTGGGTTTCCTGTTCACAGAGGACCCTGTATGCACCTCACACAGAGTACGTTTTGGTAAAACAAAATACTGGCAAAGATCAGACAAAAATTTACTTACTATGAGCCTTAGTCACACATCTATTTCAGAGAATTATAGAATCATGTAATCGTTGAGGTTGGAAAAGACTTTTAAGATCATGGAGCCCAATCATTAACTTGGCCACTGCCAAGACCACCAAGCGCCCTGTGTACATGTCTAATAAATCCCTCCAGGAGTGGGGACTCCACCACTGCCCTGGGCAGCCTGTGCCAGGTCTGGACAGTGCTTTCTGTGAAGAAATTCTTCCTGATGTCCAACCTGAATCTCCCCTGGCACAGCTTGAGGCTGTTTCCTTTTGTCACATCCCTTGTTCCCTGGGAGCAGAGTCTGACCCCCACCTGGCTCCACTCTCCTGTCAGGGAGTTGGAGAGAGGCAAGAAGGTCCCCCCTGAGCTTCCTTTTCTCCAGGCTGAGCCCCTCCAGCTCCCTCAGCTGCTCCTGGAGCATTCCCTGAGGTTGTTGTGACCTAAGGGCAGGATCCAGCACTTGGCCTTTTTGAACCTCATGCAATTGGCCTCAGCCCACAGACCCAGCCTGTCCAGATCCCTCTGTACAACCTTCCTACCCTACTACAGCCACCCAGCTTGGTGTCATCTGTCATCACAGGACCTTACATGAACCCGCAAAGAGCAACAAAGACAACATAAAGCACAGAACTGGGGCTAAAAGCTGAGGAAATTAGATCAGAGTTGATCACTGTTTATGTAGCTGTTCGAGGTCAAAGGCCTGGACCTTGCATGGAATTAGAGAAACTGATTCCTGACATATTTTACATTACCCTGGTAGATGACCCTCACAGGTCAGAGCTGGCCTATACAATTTCAGATGGAAAGAATGATGAAAGCCTCAGTCGTGAGAGGCTGGTAATTATCCAACTCTCTGAGACCTTTAATGAGGTTACAGTGCTGGTAACCTCCGTGTGGGGAGGGAGAACTAACCAAATAAGCCTGTATGTCATGGGCCCTAGGCAGAGACACACAGAAGTCTGCAAAATCAAGAAAGGGACCCTTCCAATGCAGTCACAGGTTGTGCTGGCTATTGAAGAGCAGTGAATTGGCCACCCCTTTGCCAGACATCAAGTTAGAGCTCCTTTACTTGGCCACTTGCCAAGGGAACTCAAAAACACAGTTACACATTCGGTATGGAAAGGAGAATTTTCCCTTTCCTTTTATATCTGCTGCAGAGCGTAATTCAAAGCTGAGTTAGTGAATCATTTCAGAGGGCTTTGGGTGAAGATTTATAATCACAGAATCAGAAAAACAATCTGGAAAGGAACTTGTAAGATCCTCTACACTGTTCTCTTGTACCAAGCAGGACTAATCTGTCTACAGCTGTTCTTAAAGGTCCTGAGTACACATGATCTTTTGTTTTTCTTCGCTCCCCACAAAAGTTGTTATCCTGTTGTAGAAAAAAATGTATTAGTCCTTGACAAATCCATCTGGGAGACAAATAGCAAGTCTGTTATTTTCCTAGGGCTTGAAAATTAATTGTTTATATAGCAGAGCTTCCTCTCCTGAGGTCGTCATCATTTTCTATATCCACAAGTTGGTAACACATTCCACAAACTCCCTGTACCACTGGTACTCCTGTAATGAGGGATGTCTGGGCAGCTCTTATCTCTCAGTGTTGTGCAATGGATGATTCTGCATGGTTTTGCTGCCAAGCAGCCTGGAATATAAATGGCAGTGCCCAATTTTCTTTCCTTTTAACCATCATTCAAATTGTGTAGAAAAGATGCTCCTACAGTGTCAAAGTATACAAATCCATGATTGTAGAAGGCAACATTTCTTCTTCTCCTGCCTGTTACTCCTCACAAGTTGCACACTAGTGTACTAATATTCCATCCATATTAGTAATCCAAACATGTCTCTACTGTGCCACAGTCATAATTTGGATCGTGATTAAAAACTCTCAGATCTACTTGTTTATTCTTACCATGTCTCACAATAACATAAAGTTCACAGCATCAAGCCAGTCCTTTTTTTCATATTGCCATTACAAATAAATCTCTTTGCTCCTAGTTTTTCTTCAGCCTAACTCCTCTGTCTCCTCCGTCTGAATGGTAACTGCAAACAGTTAATTTGAAAGTTAAAAAGGCTCTATCCCATCCACCATTTTCCTTAAGCTCCTCCAACTATTAAACTTTAAATAGACTTAAAGCCATGGCGAGAATGGTTTTCCTCTCTGCCTTAAGCATGAAGTAGAGCCTCCAGCGTTTGTGGACGAGTTGTTCCTATTCAGTAGAGATCTCCCACAGCAGTTCCCCGTGAGCAGTAAGCAGGAGGACTAACCTTTTTCAAAACTCGGGATGAGGCGGGCACCACTGAATTGGATTGTGAATACTTAATGTATTTGCACAGTTATTTCCCTTTCTGTCGGGCTTTGCGGGCAGAAGGGGTAGGTCTCTCCACTCCCACAAACAATCGACCTACAAAAGGTTGGCCTCATTTTCATCTACTGATGTTTGACGTGCATGTGTTGGACCGTGACTTTTTCGCACTGGTTAACGCGATCTTAGGGTGCAAACTAAAAGGAAGGATCTGTTCAAAAGAAGCACAGCTGCCTAAATGCCGGGTGGGCTCTCGGAAACGCCTGGGTGCACACAGGCAGCTCCACCGAGGCGGAGCCAGCAACAGGTAAGAAACTGAAACAACACCCTTCACAACAAAGCCAAGAAGCACCAGGGGAATCGAGTCAAAAGCCAGTCAGCATCTCTCGCCTCCAAGAACACTCCTTCTGCTTGACACTTAACTGTCCTTTGCCCAGGTACGCCCCCGAAGGTGCGCAGTCACAGCTCTGCCCTCGGTACCGGGATGCGCTAAGAATCGACAAACAAACGTTCCTTTCGGAGCCGCCCAGCCCGGCCCGGCCCGGCCCGGCCCCGCCGCTCCCCCGGGGTGGGCAGGGCCGGGCCGGGGGCGGTACTCGCCGCCCGCACCTCGACGGAGCGGGCCGGGCCCGGCAGAGCCGAGGCGGGGCCGGGGGTGAGCGGCGGCCCCGGCGCTCGGAGACACCGACGGCGGGCATGGGGCCGGCGCTGCTGCTGGGGCTGCTCCTCTCCAGAGCCGGTAACGGGGCGCGGGGCGGGCAGGGCAGGGCAGGCGGCGCGTCCCCGTCCCTCTCCCGGCGGGCGGACAGATCCCGCTGCGGGGCGGCTGCGGGCGGCGCCGGGGTCGGGACCGTTCGGGTGACCGGCGCTCCCCCGGTGCTCCCGCGGTGTTATGCACGGCGCTCCCCCGGTGCTCCCGCGGTGTTATGCACGGCGCTCCCCCCGGTGCTCCCCCGGCTGCTCCGGGCGCAGGCGGCGCGTCGGAATTCGCGTTTCCAACCGGGAAAGGCGGCTGCTGCTCTCCAGGAGCGGGGACCCGCCAGTGTGACTGTGGCCAAACTAGAGGGACGCTCGGGTTGGGGGGGAGGTCTACCCTGGGGGCGAGGGGTGAGGAGCGAGGGGTGATGCTGGAGTCGATCCCCGAGGAGCGAGGGGAGATGCCGGAGCCGATCCCAGACCGCGGCCGGACGGGTACAATGCGAGGATGCGCCTGAGCGGGTCCCGGCTGCGCCGCGCTCTCGCTGGCTTCGCCTAGAGCAGTTTTTGATACCTACCCCCCATGCATTCCCTCTCTGGAGTGCTCCGAGCCCATAGTTTTCCGAGGAGAGGCTCAGTCTGCTGAGACCAATCTAAGGAGCTCCTGCAGAGATGCATCTGATGTTTCCACTCTGCCTCCTATTACTGCCAAATCACGAGAGATGAGGATTGAAATTATTCCTCTTTCCGGTTAATCTCTTGTGCAGCCTTCGTGGCTGATGTGACTGGGAACACAGAAACTACAAACGGCTCTGAAGCATTCCTAGACCCTGGCTATGGGATGTCAGTGCTTTACACTCAGGAAAAGCTGCAGCTGCTGAATATCACAATGACTGTTAAAAAATGGGCTGTTGCACTTAGACCTCAGTAGCACTGTCAGCCACATGGTTATGATAGATTTCCCCCCGGTTTTCCGTGTTCAAATGCCAATTCTTCTTTGCTAACTGTTTACAGAAAGGTTTCCCTTCTGTAATCGTCCTCTCTTTCAATACCACAGTGCACCACAGTGCACTGGATATACATATCTATATGACAGGCCATTGAGTGAAAAGGGAGAAAAAAAGATATATTATATTACCTATCCATTTTTTCTAAGGTATAAATAATAATCTGTTAATTGGTTGTTACCTTTTACCTTTTTTTAACTATGGAAGGGATTCCCATACCCATGTGGTCTTTAACATGTTCTGCAACCTAGACCATAGGTCTAGGAAAGAATTAGCTTTCTTATTCTTTCACATTGTTATCTGGAATACTTTCATTTAAAAAATTGAAATAGCTTGTCAAGTTTCAGGGTTCACAACAGTGCACAGCTATTGTATGATGTCTGTTTTAAGTTTGAGGTTTAAAGCAGCTTCACCTGAACCCACTGTGCTGAGTACAAAGCATTTCTGACAAGAGACTTTTCAGGGAGCTTAAAAAGTCATTGAGTCTCTATGTAAGAGCCAGATGAGCTACAAAGTACAGTAAGCTGATAGAAAAATAAAGAAATTTCTACAGATGAGACAAAGATACCTATACAGTATTACTGGACTGTAGGAAAAGTAGAAAGTTTGAGAAGCAGACTGGTATAGAATTATGCAGACTACTGCCTACAGCAAATAAACTGATGAAGCCAGCAAAAGGGAAGGGAGTGGAAAACAAGGTAGATGGTGAAGATGGTACATCAGGCAATATGAGCTTACCAAGATTTTTTTCTAATCTGTAGTGAAGGCAGACTGAAATAGTACTACTGCACCTGCTGAACAAAGAATGATGGGTAAGATGATGTACCCAAAGAACATTAAAGGTAGATGTAAGGCTCAGGACAGTCATTTCTTAAAACCAGCCAAGCAATATTGACCTGAAGGGAAGAAACATACTAGGTTATATATAATGTTTTAGCAAACTGTCTTGTTCCAAGACTTCATTGTACTTGTACTGTAAACATAGGTTAATAAACTGCAGAAAGGAAGGAAGATTACAGACTGAATTCACCTACCTTTGACAACATAATCATAGGATCGTAGAAAGACTTGGATTGGAAGGGACCTTAAAGCTCATCTCTTTTCACCCCCTGCCACGGGCAGAGACCCCTTTCACTAGACTGTGTTGCTCCAAGCCCCATCCAACCTGGCCTGGAACACTTCCAGGGATGGGCCAGCCACAGCTTCTCTGGGCAACCTGTGCCAGGGCCTTGCCACCTTCTGAGTAAAGAACTTCTTCCTAATGTCTAATCTAAATCTCTATTTTAAAATTGCTCTCCCTTGTCTTATCACTATCTGCCTGTATAAAAAGTTGCTTTCCCTCTTTTTTTAGAAGTACCCTTTAGGCACTGGAAGGGGCTCTAAGGTCTCCTCAGAGCCTTCTCGTCTCTAGGCTAAACACCCCCTGCTCTCCAAGCCCGTCTTCAGAGCAGAGGGGCTCTAGCCCTTGGAGCATCTTTGTGTCCACAGCTTTCTTGTGCTGAGGGCCCCAGAGTTGGATGCAGCACTGCAGGTGGGATCTCAGGAGGGCAGAGCAGAGGGGCAGAATCTCTTCCCTCAACCTGCTGGCCAGTCTGATTTTGATGCAGCCCAGGATGTGTTTGGCTTTCTGGGCTGCAAGTGCACATGGCCAGCTCATCCACAAGAACCCCCAAGTCCTTCTCTGTGGGGCTGCTCTCAATATGTTCATCTTCCAGTCCAGATTCATGTCTGGGATTGCCCTGACCATGTGCAGCACCTGCACTTGGACTTGTTGAACTTCATGAGATTTTTGTGGGCCCGCTTGCCAAGTTTTTCCAGGTCCCTCTGGATGGCAGTGTTAGGTATCACCCCTTAGGAGACAACAGTCCATATAAAAAAATTAAAAGCTGAGAAAAAAACTAGTTTTAAAGATTATGTTGTTTAATCTAAGATTATTTAATACTTCTACATAAGGTAGCATGTGTCTATATATATATATAATCAATGCATGTGTCACACAAATATATGTACACACAGAGATATAGGCAAGGGTTTACAATCAGCCAACAGGTGAAAGCTGGCAGGCTAAGCCTTCATCTGCATTTTTGGCAGGGATTTCAGGGACTATGTTTTAAATACTTAAAATGACTGCATATCAGCACTTCTAGATGAAGCTACTTGCATCTCATGTTAAGGATTCGTTTTATTATGCAAAAAATACGCGATCTTATATTTTCAAGCTCAGTAAAGTGGTTGTTTTTACACCCTATAAATGGCTTTCTCAGTACATCTCTTAATGACCAGCATATACTTTAGTAATTGCAGCAGCACTGACTCACAGCACACAGTATGGTGTTACTATGTGCTTATTGCACTGCGGTTTTCACTGCTCAGACAGAAGAGCTTCTTCAAAGCAGGCCTCAGCAACCCCGAGGTTTCACGGGGATTTACTGCTCCATAAAATGCAGAGCCAAGTTGAAAGAGTTAAGGGTGACAAAAAAAGGTTTTATTAAACAAAATTATTTTTGAGAATTTTATTTGACCTTTTGTTGCCTCTTTCATAAATGCTCATCCTTTTGTTTCTGAGTGGAGAAAGCTCTTGTTCCTTGCTACTCCACGTGAAAGACCCCAACGAGTTCTGCCTCTCACGTGGAGTCCTTGCTTCAGACAGGATCCCTGCAGAACAGTGACAAGGTGCTTGTGTGGCATTCATCCTGACTGGGGTCCTAACAATCTTTTCTCCACTCGACCAGGAGACCTCCTGGCTCTGCCCAGGAGTGACTGTGTCGTGGCAGAGCGGCTGTGCCTCTCGGACTCCACCTGCAATGCCACGTACAGGATCCTGGAAAACTGTGCCCTGGCCAAGACTCGCCTCCTTCCACTGGATCACGATAGCAGGGTCAGATGTCTGAATGCAGAGCTGGACCTTGGGAACAGCTCTTTGCTGCACTGCAAGTGTCACCGGCGCATGAAGAGACAGGAGCACTGCTTACGTGTCTTCTGGACCGTTCACTCCAGCATGACAGATGGTGAGATGAAATAATAGGAATTTACAAGGTACTAGCAAGGCTTACCCCTGCCCCCCATCTGAAAACAGCTGGGAAAGGCCACTTCCCAACACTGCAGGTATTGCTTTGGAACGACATCTAGTAAAGAGAATTTACTGCTGTGTTTGATAAGCAGGGAAAACTGGTCTGGTCTGGGAGCAGCCCTTCAAATACACCAGGGACTCTAAGATACAAAGGCAGCTACTCTGAGGCAGTTAAATTTAGCGCTGTAAAAAATACCTCAAAATGGTCCTATCTGTCCATCACTGAAAGGCACTTGTGATTATGACACACAGTGTCATGGCATCCCTGAATGTGCTGCTGTTTTTTTTAGTGGGATGCTCCTACTTGACCTCTCACTAAAGCCTGTCTGTGCTGCTCAGCTCCTCACTCGTACTGAGGCTGGAAATACCAGATGACTTAGACCAAATTCCAGCCAGATAAAATGTAATGCTGGGTTTACACACTAATACCTTTGCATTTCCAGCAGAACCATTTTTGGCATTTGGATCTGAGCAAGATAGAGCACCTCTGAACTCCAGCCTGAGGAAAGAGCTAGGCATAAATAAGAAAAATACCCATTTAAGAATAAACAAACAAACAAATAAATAAGCAAACTGGTCACAAAGCATTTCTTCCACTGCATGAAATATCTTGTATCTTGCCTAGGTTATTTCCATTTGGAGACCTCTCCCTATGAGAACCCAGCAAATGAAGAACACTGGAAGACAGATTATAATAAACTGGCAGCTCTGGTATCAGGTAAAAATTGTAATGGTTACATGATATAATGCTGCCCTCTCTTACCTTTTCAGAGGCTGAAGGTTATTAGGAACAATTTGGGGTAATGGCCCCTTTAATCAGAGGAATACCTGCTCTGGATACTTGCCTAAATTTGTCCCCACTATCAAGTGTGAATATAGCCACAGATCCAGGCCCATAAAACCGGGAATAACCCACAATGATCAATTTTCTGAAACAAGCACCCTACCACAAACTAATAAAAAAAATCTTCTTTTGTAACTAATATAACTACAGTGTCATACTGCAGGCACATACAAGGACTGATTTGCTTTGTTCTTTTTGATGTTCCAAATCTGGCCATCAAGAAAGGGCTATTCCTGCTTCCGCACAGAATCTCTTCTTGGGGCTCCGTTCATGGTTTCTGTATTTCTTGTGGCTTTACAGGCTCACAGTTAGCGGGAGATGCAACAAACCCGTGCCTGAAAGAAAGTCATGTCTGTAATCTGAGCAAGAAGTGTGTTCGCCTGCGCACAGACTACGCCTCCATCTGCACCAGGGCGGCGGGGAGTGAGGACGTGTGTGACCGGCGCAAGTGCCTCAGGGGGCTGAGGAATTTCTTTGAGAAAGTCCCTGAGGATTTCACCAAGAGGATCCTCTTCTGTCCGTGTCAGGATGAATTTTGTGGAGAAAGACGCCGGAAAACTATTGTTCCTGATTGTTCCTTCCAGTCTAACACCAAACCCAGTTGCCTCTGGCTGCTGGACTTATGCTTAGAGGACCCTTTCTGCAAGTAGGTCCGGCAGCAGCGGATGTTGGCCAAGAGAGGAAAACAACGTAGACACTGATGGTCTCCTTTTCCTTCCTACAGATCCCGACTGGCTGACTTCCAACAAAACTGTCAACCTGCAGACACGTCTCCAGATGGCTGCTCTCTGCACAACCATGCTGCATGCCTGCAGGCTTACATGGGGATGATTGGTAAGTGATATCCACAGGAGCATACAGGGTGGATGCTTTCAGGCCACGAACTTGCAGGCACACTTTGATGCTGTAAAGGACCATCCTGCTCTCCTGCAGGACGTGGTGCTCACTGTACCAGGGAATATGCTGTACTAATTGATGCCAGTGCTCCCCCTTACCTCTGAGGTAAATGCAGCCCAAAGAGAGCTCTTCCCTGGCATTTATTGCTGTACTTTGTCCCATCCTCTGTTACCAAATCAGGAGCACTTGCCTGAGATTTCTCAACACCTGTTTGCATCATCGGCCGGTGCAAAGTGCTCTAAGGGCCTCATCAACGGGGCTCTCTGGGCTTGTGTGAACTAAGTCATTCCTGATGCAGGAGTTACATCCCATCACAGCAGGGATTAAACACTGCATTCCATCACTGCCCAACTTTTATACGCCTGATGGTTGGTTAGTATTGTGCACAATGTGTTCTCAGGGCCAGCCAGAACATGGCACTACCAGCTGTTTGAAGGAAGGTCGTCTTTGGTTTGAGTTATTTACTGCCAACAACATTTTCAGAGTGGCTCAAGAAAGGAGCTGTAAAGAGCAGCAGTATCTCAGAAGCTGTAAATATAGACTATGCCTTCCATTTTCCCAGATGCCTCTGCTGGTTTTGTGCTAAATGAACACTGGCTGAATGGCACACTATGGTGTGCAGTATTTGCTTGGCAAAAGGCACCTGGCCACACAGTGTTACCAGCTACACAAGGAGCAGGAGCACCTTTTGCTGCCATGTGGCAGTACCACAGCTGAGCCCCTGCAGGTGCTTCCCATCCTTCAGTCTAATGCATCCACCAGCTTCAGTTCCCAGTTCCCAGTACCTCTCACCATCAGAGTCAGGGGTAGCAATCTCCACACTTTCTCACAGGCCAGCAGACTTCAGGTTGGTTCATCAGGCCTGGGTCACCTGGCTGGGAGTCCTGACCTGGCCTGGGTAACACACTTATCACAGTGGAAGGCTTCTGCCTCCAGGGCAGCATTCCCTTTAGTATAATATGATTCCTGATGTTTCTTTCATCCGGGGGTTTGGGACAGGCACACCCATGACACCCAACTATGTCAGTAACTCCAGTGTGGAGGTCTCCTTGTGGTGTACCTGTGAGAGCAGCGGCAACCAGAAGGAGAAGTGTGACCAGATACTCGGCATGTTTGAGAGCAACAAATGCCTTGGTAAGCATCAATCACATCACAGAGAAACAGCTCAGCATGGGGGAATTCAAGTCCTGTGGTTTCAAGATCCTACTTCGCACTGCTCTTGCGTATAGTTCTGTCTTCTTCTGCAATGTCTCCATAATCTCCTCTGCAACCTGTGGGACCAGCCTGGCTCTGCTCTCAGAAGTGTTTCTGTATCTTTTGGAAACACTTCTGTTCATCTCAAACACCATGAAGCTATTTCCAAACACCATGCAAATGAAGGGCACTGCAAAAACTTCACAAGGGGAGGTCAGATGTGCTGTGTCCATAGGTTGCTGTGTAACCACGTCTGTGAGGATTATGGGTTGGGATTCCCCTCCTGTCCTCGTTCCTCTACTCTCCTTTGGCCCTCACTTACTTGATCAACATAAGTAGCTCCTGAGGCAGCCTGTAATTAGATTCAGCAGCATAGCAGTTACAAAAAAATCCTGTTACATGCAACTGTATTTTTTTATCTCCCTAGCATTTTAGCAACATACCTTAATGAGATTTAAATATTTAATGTTTGTAAAAGCTTCCAAAGGATATAAAAGAAACCAGCATCATTATGTAAATGATTAATATCTAAACCTAACTCCTGCAGTATAGAAGAGCCTTACACCCAGCGCTGTAGATACATCTACAACCTAAACATCCCACCTGAGATACTAAAAATCAGCCCCTTACAAAATACACAGTTGGGAAAGTCACAGAAGGACCCAAAAGTCCTCAAGTACAGTGCAGACATTTTTGCAGTCTGCTCAACCTCACAAGCAAACCCACAAACTGACAGGCCATTCACTGAACAGAAAATATATATTTTCTAAATCAAGGCCACACAGCCTGTGAGTGCATTTCCTAAAATAGCTTCCCTAGATTTCTGTTCACTAGACTCCAAGACTGCACAAGAAAAGCACAATAAGACTCTTGCTTTACTTCTGTTTGCAGAAAATGCCATTTGGTCTCAAATGCACCTGAAGCAGACAGCTCTAGAAAGACAGGAAGACTTACCTCATTCATCTTCCCTAAGCTTCCAAGGAGACAGTGCCAGCACATCTCTTGCTTCAGAAATGTCCCAGGTATGCATTGCTTTGTTGCCTTCACAAAGCAGTGAGTCAAGTAGCCTAGAGACAGTAGTCGAAAAACCTTGGATCTGGAAGTGTGTGACTTTGGACATCAAAGCGAGGGATGCCACGTGCATGTGGAACACTGAACCACTCTACCTTAAGCTGTTCCTTTCACAGACAAGCAGAAATAGGAAGCCACATGCCTGGCCACAGGAGTTTCAATGGTCTCACATTAGGGCTCAGAACTGGAGGCTCTGCAGCCAGAAGTTTGAGCATAAATGTGTCTAACTGGGACTCATCCCTCCTTTTCATTTCCTAGGTGGCTGAAGGGAAGATGCAGCAAGACAGCTCTGAACACAGCAGCATGCCTTTGGCCTCCTCTGAGCATTCTGGAGCTGCTACTTCTTGGCCTTCTCTGGCTCTGTTCCTGCCCCTGTTGCTGAACATTAACTTGGCATAAATGGAATCTTTCCTTCCCATATTATTAATCTTATTCCATATCCAGGCACGTCCCACTACAGATTTACCTTTGGGAAACAGAAGGCTTTCAGACAAGAGGAATGGAACAGCCTTACCCCAGAATAGCAGTCTCTGGAAACCTCCCAACGTACTTGCCCCCCACTTTCCCCGCGTCAGTTCGCACTGAGCTCTGCAGATGTGGTTCTCACCATTGCTTCTGCCATGTATGCATTGTGAGTAACAGCCAGGCTCATGTTCCAGCTCAGCAGTTTAAAACAAAGGTCTGAGTTCTGTCAGAACTTGTGCAGGGTTTGGTTTCTGACTGCAGGGATGACCTGACACAGGATGTCCGCCCACCCCACCTTCTGGAGCTCTTCCTCGGGCCTGCAGTCACTGAATGGTTTCTGTTGGAAGGGACCTTAAAGACGATCTTGTTCCACCCCTGCCATGGGCAGGGACACCTTCCACTAGACCAGGTTGCTCCAAGCCCCATCAAACCTGGCCTTGAGCACTTCCAGGGATGGGGCAGCCACAGCTTCTCTGGGCAACCTGTGCCAGGGCCTCACCACCCTCACAGGGAAGAAGTTTTTCCTAATATGTAATCAAAACATACATTCTTTTAGTTTAAAACCATTGCCCCATGTCCTGTCACCAAAGGCCCTGGTGTATCTGCCCTTATCATCCTCCTCTATATATTGAAAGCAGACCTACAACAGGGTCTCCACAGAGCCTTCTCTCCAGGCCAAACCAAGTCTACTGTCTCAGCCTTTCCTCATAGAAGAGGTATTCCAGCCCCCTCCTTTTCATGGCCCCCTCTTGGCCTGCTTGAACAGGTCCATGTCTGTCACGTACTGGGCACCCCAGAGCTGGATGCTGAACTCCAGGTGGGGAGGTGGTGTGAGCTGGAGGAGAAGAATCACCTCTCAGCCTGCTGGCCATGTTGCTTTTTATGCAGCCCAGGCTGCAAGATGGTTTTCTGGGCTGCAAGTGCCCATTACCTACTCATGTCCGATTTTCCATCTACCCATATCCCCAAGTCCTTTTCTGCAGGGCTGCTCTCAATCCATTCATCCCCCACTCTGTGTTGATATTGAGGGCTGTCCCAAATGAGGTGTGGCATCTTGCACTTGGACTTGTTGAACTTAATGAGGTTTGTGTGGATCTACTTCTCAAGTCTGTGAAGGGTAAGCATATCATAAAGATTAGGAGTCTGTACTCCAGGGTGGGTTGCAAAGAAAGCTCAATAAACAGACACATAAAGTCCCTGGTAAACACCATTTCTGGATTACTTTCAGTTCCCTTTTCAAATCCATTTTTTAAGTATATGAAAAATACCGTTCCAGATCAAGGACACTATATTAGAGTTTATATTCTTGCTCCATTCTGTTTTGCCCCTTGCAACATATATATAATCCATTATCACAGTTTGCAACACACTTGGGTTTTGTTGTTCAAGATGGACTTCTGTGCTCAACTCCAGTAAATTTAGTTTTACCCAGCAAAAGATGATCTCGCCTGGCCTCAGGACGAACCTTCTCAGTAACCCTTAGGGAATGCATATAGCTCATTGAAGATGTATTTACCACAAAACCCCTGGGACACTCAGTTGCAAAAATCTCCTTGTACCTCTCCACATACTCAAGTTGCCATTGCCCCTTCCAGCTGCTTGCCCCATCCATCCCCTGCTCCTCTGCCAAGTGCTGCTTCATGACCTGTTTATTCCGAGTGTAAATGTGTGCACTGTGTAACTGCTGTTAGTTTGTACTGCGTTTGCCTGTTAAATGTGGTGTTAAGTGAATATTGATTTCTAAGCATAGGTTAACAGTCTGCAATCAATTGTGTGCAAGAGTTGCCTTATCAGCCAGCCTACACTTTTGAATAGCCAGAAACTCGGCTCAAAACAGCTCCTCCATGCACATGCACAGTGCCCATTGCTCATCCTGAGAGGCAACAGATCTGAACAGTACTATACACACCCAAACAAGATTACAGTCCTGAACAGAGGCAGAACAGGTGAGTATTCTTTTTATCCTGTGCTTTATCTGTTGCCAGGGAAGCACCAGCTAGGTAATATGCTGTGGTTCCCAGTCACTCTCAGACACCTTATTACAGAATCTTACACTGTCACATGTATCAGAGTAATTATCCTTCTGCAGGGGTAATATTTCCATTTCCACTTCTACTCTCCTGTTTACTTCCTGGGTAGGTAGAACAAGGAAATCACTGCATGGAGCAGAATGATCTCCTCTGTCACACAGAGAAGCAATATGTTATTTCCGTGCAGTAGGAACAAATACCATGTCTTTTTAAAAAACAGGAGTACTAATGCTGGTATTTCTCATTACCTACTGAAATATGGCTATTTGGAGCAAGAGGCAGCACTAGAATGTTTGCTACCATTGTTTAATAAAAACAGAGTCCATGTAACAACACTATAATATCTACATTAGACCATCCTCCATGTGGTGGGACTAGAAATGTGTCAAGACTCCTGACTGTAATGTAATAGCATCTGTCATCTCAGAATTTAATGGAGAGCAACAGTGAAGAAGAAAATGTTGTTCTTTGCAGTATTCCACACATCAGAGAGAATATTTGTGAGTATAATGGAGTAGTGAGCTGTCTGTACCACACACACTGGTACACAATGTACTGCAGTGATCATCTACTCATCTGCACTGGGATCTTTCCTCTTTCCCAGCTTCAGTGCTCTAAGACAGGTTGGTAGTGAAAAAGGAATGAGCATTTTGTTGTTCATGTTTAGGGCACTGTGGACCTCTAGCCCTTTACCCCTGCTAAGAAGGTTATTGATGGCAATTGCAGTCTCCTGTCATGTCCTGGATTACACCACAGGAAAATACTTGACAAATCCTGAGACAAATCCTGCTCTGGACTGAAATTAAAGCAAAAAGTGTCAGTTTGGTTTTTTTCCAAGTGTCCTGCATCCCTTTCACATGCACGTTTATAATCACAGCTGCCTCTTAGGCTTGTTCATCAATAACTGCAAGCGAAATTCACCTCTAACTACACTTGCATTCACAGGTACTCTCACTGCTGGGACTCCAAACCCATTTTCTCTTAGACTTTTCTGACTACCTGATCTCCAAATATCACAGTTTTTCAACTACACAGCATTTATGCATGCATAAGTATAACTGCTACTAGAAATGTCATGCCAGTATCAGTATCGGGTCAGTTCTGTTAGCACCACCAGTGTTCCAAGACTGGCACAGTTACCTAAACCCAGTTCTTACTGACCACACAAGAGGGCAGTTTACAACCCCCCCTCAGCTTCTGTTCCCAGAAAGTGGAATACAGCATCCTGTGAGCACATGTGGTCTCACAAAATATAATCCACAAAATACAAAAATAATCCAATAAAGATTCTCTATCCAGACAGTCTTAATATTGAGCTCTCAGCAACCATATATGAAAAGGGAACCCTCTAATTGTTGTAATGTAGATATTATTTTTTAAAGAGTAAAATAATGTGAAGTCTCACTAATAAAATTTATCTTGCAACTCTAGAAGTCTCCTGCCTTCCTTTGCATTTAATAGAAGCTACACTCCTTGTCTCCACTGCTGGAGGCCCTATGGGAAAGAAATTTAAAGAACAGAGTTAGAATCTCTTACAAAGCAATCTTAACAACTTTTACAAACGGTATCCTGTCAGGTGCTTCAGATGTTGCTTTTAGAACTCTGGTAGAGCTTTAGGTCCCTTAACACAGTCTAATGTAGCATTTACAAAGGGCATTCATATAGTCCTCTAGCAGGGAGCTCAGGCAACCGTATTGTTGTGACAAGTGAGAGAAGCAACGCACATTTCTTGCCCGAGGTCACAAGCAAGGTGAAGACAGAGATAAGCCTTGAATTTGGAAGTCCAAAGTTATGGTGTCCTTGCCTCATTAAAACCATTCCCACTGCCTTCAAGAAGTGCCTATGTTTCAGTAAGAATCAAGTGGCTGCAGTTTTCCTTTTAAAAGGGGGAACAATGTGTTGTTGCAGAAGAGGAAAAGCTAAGCCTTGCTTCAAACTGATTCCTGGCTACAGATCCCTGGCACACCTCTCCAAATCTGTTGACAATAAAAGGTAACTGTCAGTGGACAGGAAAACACTACAGGTTCAGCATCTGTAAAGAATGAAAGTGTCTTTTTCAATGCATCCTAAAAATCACATCACTATTTGCCAAAATGGTAGACAGCTTGACACAGGAATAAAAAGGAGAGTTGTCAAAGTAATCTTTGAGGTGTCCATGAACCAGACAAAGCTTTTGGGAACAACAGTGGAGAAAGAGGAAGCCAACCAGCACTGCTGAGCTCCACGGGATCGCTCAGCGCTGCTATGGAATCACAACCCGCAGCTATTCCACAGCTGCTTCCCCGTCGAGACAGATCCCGGTAAATACGATCAGAGGCTAATCACTTCTACCCCGGGGATTTTGCGGCCGAACCTTTCTTCATTTGAGGGAGGGTCGGTTGAGGCTGAGCTTGGTTAGTCTCTAATGGAAGCTCTTCTGATAGGCGATTAGCTCTCCTCCAGGAAGTGACTTGGTGTTTGGGTTTCTTGCAAACCCCAGGGTTAGCAGAGGTCAGGGGATGCTGCACTTTCTCCAAGTGCCTTCATGAAAATAGCCCCACATACTTTCCATTTACAGCTGATCACCTCCATTATCCCCAAGCTAGGAGGAGATGATCAGCAATTGTTAAGTGCTTGAATCAGACTAATAGCTCACTGCTAATTCCCCCAGTAATGGGAATCTAAATTCCTGGTAAACAAACTGACTGCTTTTCACACACAGGGACGAATGCCAAAAGCCTAATATTAGAGCTCTGGAACTAAAGCTTTTAGAGCAATCCTGTCCACTCAAAGATATTTAATGACATTATGTACTAAATAATTAGAAAATGAAGGCCCGCTTGGAATCAATGGGTTACTGTCTAATTAAGATGACAAAGGGGCTCTACCCTTTTTTAAACAAGTTTATACTAAAACGGTGTACCTGATAAATGGTGCTGATAACTATGTCTTTACCTTTGGGCAGAACAAGCAGACATTAAGCTAGCACAAAACAATGGTGTGATTTTTGGCTCATCTTTTTTCCCCTTGGTCTCTCCTGTTTTCCTGTAAGGCATGTGATTCAGCTGTTCCTCCCCCCATCAAATGACAAAATTTATTAAGCAACATTCAAATCACTTATCCTGATGGAGATAAAACCATCTTTGCCTTTTGCTTTATTGTATGGCCACAATCACAGAGTTCACACCACAAGATGCTCGAAGAGCTGAGAGGTGTGGACTGGAGCTTCTAGAAGCACTTTGCAGCAAGAATTGCTAGTGAGCTTTTGAGCACAGGAGAAGATTATCTACACACAGAGAGAACTGTAAAAAGACTGAGAAATGTTCTACTGATAATATGGCTGAATTAAAATTAATTAGTAAATCATATGACATCCTTATCTTCAAACTGGAGAGACATGGGTTTG